CTCTCTCTCTCTCTCTCTCTCTCTCTCTCTCTCTCTCTCTCTCTCTCTCTCTCTCTCTCTCTCTCTCTCTCTCTCTCTCTCTCTTTGAGTCTCTCTCTTTGAGTCTCTGTAGTAAAAAAAAAAAAAGAACTTGAAGAGTGTGATCACTGTTGGAAAACTTGGAACATATAATACATATTTACAGGTATCTGATAAATCTCTCTCTCTCTCTCTCTCTCTCTCTCTCTCTCTCTCTCTCTCTCTCTCTCTCTCTCTCTCTCTCTCTCTGAGTCTCCGTCTCTTCGCGGCCGATTGATAACCCATGTGTCTGTTGAAGAGTGACCTTCATTTTGCGCAGCAGCCGCTGCACCTGAGCTCGCCGATGGATGGGGGCAGGAATCGTCGCCGATGGTGTGCCCTGTGGCCGCTGCCCATGTGGCCCGAGTCGTGTCCTCCGTCTCACTCGTCGCCCTCCTCCATCATCTCCATCCGCCGCCCATAGTTTAGGCACGCAATCGGTGTCCCCCGCATCATCAGTGTCTGTGGTCTCTCCTGCGGCGACATCCGTGCTGTCGTCGTGGACGATAAGTACACTGCCACATCTCTTCTGACCTGCCACTGCATCCCCTGCACCCTCCTTGCCGACGGTGTCCGCCGTCGTTGCAGCCCTCCCTCCAACATCCAATGCATCACCGTCAGGTGCAATCTCTCCGTCCTTGAGATGCACAACGCCGGATCCTCTCTCTCGGGAACGCATATGTGACGACGAACGTGACGCCTTCCTTGCCGAGGCCTTCTTCCTCGCCCGAGAAAGACTCGCCTTCGCGGCCCTCGTAGCATGGACATCAGACGTCTTCGTCGGCAAAGCACTCCCATGTTGGTCCTCAAACTCTGCCATGACGGTGTGTCGAGCACCATCGACACTCCCAATGGATCGTGTCCCCATAGACGGTGCAGATGGACTGCCAACAATCCAGACTCCCTGTTCATCCCGCCCCCCAGTACTACTCCCGTTGGCATAGAATGCCACTGTCGGCAAAACAGTAGCTATGCCGCGCAGTGCCGTCGACGATGACCCAACCACAGGTTGTTGTGTCGCGTCCGTGGTGTATGTGGCGCGGACGCCCGCAACTACGCCGGCAGCCGCGGTAATGGGATGATGCTCTGAGTTTGACGGTCGACGTGGGGGTCTTGTTTCTCTTTCGACTGTGTCAACTGGCCCACCTGTAGACCCTTCCTCTGCGCTGTCAAACGAATCAGACAGACTACGGTGTGCGATGCCGCCATGACCGTCGTGGCGGTGTCGCGTCGTCGTCTCGGTCAAACCAATGTCCACCTCGTGTGGTCTGCCAACACGAAAAATCGTGGGTGTGGCAGACACCATTGGGCTTGTAATCATATCGCCTCCTACCTCGTCAAACGCGTCTGGTCCGCGCTCCATGGCGACAGGCTGTTGTGGGTTGGGCGGTGACACGTGGGGTAGACCAGGGGATATCAACGTCGACAAGTCCGGTAGAGAAACGAGCGCTGAGTCCATGACTAGTAACTCGCCGGTACCCGGAAGACTGCCGGTGGGGCATGCCAGGCTGACATGGCCTGCGGCGCTCTACTTAGCTGCGGGAGTGTGTGAGATCTCACCTTCTGGGAGATCGTCGTCTAAACACGCAACAACAGTCCCCTGACTCCCCTCCATCAATGCACGCGGTGGCCGCGATACAATGTTGACTGCATTGGCTCCGTGTGTGTCTGATCGCTGCATATCAACCCCCTCCCTGCATAAAGGTTAACGGGGCATCTGGTTTTCAGGCATGAAATTTTTGAAATTAGGGTTTTTGGCTCAAATTTCATGTTTTTTTGGAATTTCAACTTTTTGCTATATATGCATTTGGATAGTGTTGCCGTATATGAAATTTGGGGTTATTTGGAGTTTTAGAATTTGCGCTATTAATATTTCTGAAATTTCTGAAATTGGTCGAGTTTTTTTTGGGCCAAATTTCATGGAAATGCACCTTTGGCTTGCTGTTTTATATGTTTTTAAATGGGTGTTCGGTTAACCTGCTCTCACATTGGGCTGATCTCCATGAACACTGCGAGGTGGGATCATACTCTCTTGCTCCGCTGCTACCAGTGGTCGTCGCACATCTGAGGTCACTGCAACTGAGACTGCCGCTCCGACAGACGTGAGTGGATGCAGTGCACCAACAGAACCCTCGTCCTGCATTACCGAGAGATGACCGATCTCTCCCTCAAACTCGGGATGGCGCATCAATGGTGCAGGACCCTATTGCGATTCTGGGATTGCTGCGGAGGACCCCATCAGAGCTGTCGCGTGCATACTCAAAGTGTCATTTCGTGGATGACCGCTTCCGTCATCCAGCTCGATCCGCTCCTCACCGGCGTCATCGCTAAAAGAGCCCTCGGAAACTTGAATTTGCTCAGTTACAGGGACTCGTGCTCGTGGAATGCTAGCAACCCCACCATGACGTTTGCGCACACGTGAAGCGATAGTGTCTCGTTCCCTTAGTCCACATTTCAAGCGCCTCAAGTCACCGCCCTGGACAAGTCGTGAACCATCATCGTCCGCTCCATCTCAAGCGTCATCCGGTGCTGTGTGGTGCTCGCTTCCTGCCGCAGCGCCACGCATGGTGTTACCATTTGCATGTCTGAGGCCCTTGCACCACTCCGTGCATCAGCGTCACCATCATCGTGACAATGTCCCGCTCCCTCATCAGGCTCTCTGTCAGTGTCTCTCTGGGTTGAGCGGGGTTGTGACCGATCTCCTCCATCACCGCAATCATCGCCTCTGACGCCACCGTCGTCGTCTACGTCCGGGTGATGGTCGTCGAAATCGTTGTCTCCATCCTGTGCAGGCCTGCCAGTCCCGAAGAAATCCTCATTGTCACTGGACGAGCTCTCATACAAAAAGTCTCCCTCATCCCATCGTTGTCAAGGCTTGCGTACAAACTCGTCCGCCGTCCTTCCACGGCTCGCGACACTCCGCCTCCCGCCAGGACCTCCACGCCCGGCTCGCCCACGACCGCCCCGACGACCACCTCCACGACCACCGCCACGACACCTCCTCCTGTCAGACTCCCCCAATCGACGAGTGGCTCCCATGCGGGACACGACGCGCATCCTCTCTCTCGCATGCATCAACTCCTCCTGCGTCACTGTCACACGGGTTCCTCGGTCTGCCACAAGCTGCTGGTCGGTGGGCACCTCCTCCTCCACCTACTGCCAGTAGTGCACCCAGCTCCCGTACGGATGTGGCCTGTCATTGGGAGCATCGTCCGACATAGGCTGCCGGTCGAGGAGCCGAAGGTTCCAGTGGCATCGCACGAGCTTCTCGGCCAGTGCTACCTCCAATCTGTTATGGGATTTGGAGTGGATGAAGCTCCAGCGGGACCAAGCTCTCTCGCAAGGCGATGTAGTCGCCCACACACTCAGTATCCTGCAAGTGAAGAAGGCCGTGTGTGGGAACCTCTTCTCCTTCAACTCTCAACGGCTCCCTAGAATGAAACTTGTCAATGGCAGTCAGGACCTCGTTGTGCTGATCCGAATGCTCCGGGTACCCAAACTGAACCAGAGCGAGTTTCAAACCGTGTTGCATCTCCTCGTCATCTGGCATTGTGCGCTCTCGAAACTCGGGGTCCAACATCATGGCAGCAACATGAGCAGGCGACTTGAACATGGTGCGGCGTCTGTCAAACACTTCAAGCACCGCTTCCTGCTCGTCCTTCTCCAAAATGGCACATGCAGACAAACAACACACGATCATCTCGTCGTACCGACGCARAATCTTGCCAATCTGCCTCGTGTCGCTGTCCACCATCTGCAGTATGTCCATGATGGGATCCAACAACTTGCACAACGCTCTCATCTCCTCCCACCACTGAGGATAACTGACACATTCTGTGACCTCCGCGGCGTCGTCTCGAATCTTCTTCGTTGACCAAACAGTGTCCTTCTATCGATCATCAATGACCACCCGCATAAGATGCGATTGCAGCTGAAGAAGTCGCCGCATCATAATGGCATGCGTGCCGAAGCGATTCTCGGCGGGAAGCAGCAGTGCCATCGTCGTGAAAGCTTGCAAAACTTCACGAGCGTGACTATGGCGCTTGAAAAACTTTGTGACCAACCGCGCCTGAGCAATGCGGGTCGCCACCCAGTCAATGTCGCCGATGTCCTCAAGGATGAGGTCCATGACGTGCACCACACAAGGAATCCAGAAGATGTGCTTGACACAGTCATCCTTCTGGAACACCTTCATAGTAGAAATGTTCGAACTGGCCAAGTCTGTGACGAAAGCGGTGATGTGTACGAGCTTGATGTCAAGGGACTTCAACCTTCGCAGCCAAGCCTGCGCCAGAGCAGTGACATCCTTCTTTCCTCGCATAACATCTGTCGCGACGTAT